TCCATCTGCTAGGCTGCTAGCACATGCAAAATTTAGTTTCGTGTGAAGTCTAAATGTCCGGTAATCTAAACTATGAAAAGAAAACACCATTTTCTCAACTCCCATGATCTCCAAACAGGTTCAAGGTCCATCTGCTAGGCTGCTAGCACATGCAAAATTTAGTTTCGTGTGAAGTCTAAATGTCCGGTAATCTAAACTATGAAAAGAAAACACCATTTTCTCAACTCCCATGATCTCCAAACTCCATCTGCTAGGCTGCTAGCACATGCAAAATTTAGTTTCGTGTGAAGTCTAAATGTCCGGTAATCTAAACTATGAAAAGAAAACACCATTTTCTCAACTCCCATGATCTCCAAACAGGTTCAAGGCTCGACACATGTTGGACTTCTAAGTGTGTCCATCTGCTAGGCTGCTAGCACATGCAAAATTTAGTTTCGTGTGAAGTCTAAATGTCCGGTAATCTAAACTATGAAAAGAAAACACCATTTTCTCAACTCCCATGATCTCCAAACAGGTTCAAGGCTCGACACATGTTGGACTTCTAAGTGTGCTTTCCAAGCATCGTGCACGTGTAAGCTATCACAATATTAGAATCTTTGATTGTAATTTCTTGCATAGGATCTTGCATGTACTAATTACAATCAAATTAGAATCTTTGGTTGTAATTTCTTCAATTATCACATTACATGGAACCTATGGGTGTAATTACTTTCTTATTAATATGAGTACTAAATCCTGGGAATATCTGAAGGAACAATAGAGAAATTGGCAGGTCTTTTTGTTTCCTTTGTACTATAAATTAAATATTATTTTTACCTCTTGCAAATTTGCAGAGGACTTCAGATCCAAATTATGTTGTCCTTTCAGTCTTCTTGTTCTTCACTTTTTGAGTTTTCTTTTCATGATTCACTACTACTTCATCTTTTTGAAGCACCTACATTGTAATTGAATTGAATTTGTTTAGGATTTCAAACAGATGGATCCAAATAAATGTGAGTTTGCAAACGAGGGACTCCTAATGATAAGAAGCATCTTCTGAGGACTACAAAGAGAAGGAAGCCGCCAGAAAATCAACCTCACAAGCTTTAATCCCTCAACCCAAGCCTAGAGATCAGAAGATATGCAATGGATTGAGAGATTGAAAGGCTAAAGCGAGACAGGGACATACTGATGATAGAGGTTGTAATGCTAAGGCAGGAGCAGCGGAACACAAGAGCACATCGCCAAGCTATGGAAGCATTGATAGAAGGGACTGAGCAATACAAGACCCAAACTTCTTTTAGCAGTTAGCTCAGAAGAAGCAGCACAGAAGGTCATTACAAAGAAAAGAAAAGGATGAGTAGCTTTCAGGCATAATGATGTGAAGTCATCATTTCATCTGAGTCCAACGCAGGTTGTCTGAATGCAGGGAATTATGAAAAACAAGGAAAGAAAAAAAGCGGCTGAAGGAGAAGTGCAGAGTTGAGCAATCATTTTTGGGAAGAGCTTCTGAATGAAGAAATAGGAGAGAGGCGATGATAATGTAAGATCTTGGCTGAGAAACTAAGAGGCATTAGCTCTATACACTGTTGTGCTCCTCACTCTCGTCTCATGTAATTTTGGGTTAATTGCTGATGGACCCCCCTAAGTACATCTAGTTTTATTTTAGCGGTAGACCTCCCCGAGTGAAATATTTTTTACTCTTTTACCCTCAGGGGAAAAGTTTTTTTGACTAGTAAGCCCCCTGAGGGTTGAGCCAAAAACATTCATAAATTCAGAACAACCATACTATAAGGGATCTGTCCGCAAGTAGTTCTATTTTCTTGCTGTATGATGTCTTTTTTCCCCTTCTGTTTTAATGATTTTACTTCTGTCATATATCAATACTTTTAATGTTCCCTCTTCATTTGCAAGAATGTTGAATATGATATTAGAAGAACGAGGAAAGATAAACCTAGCCTCTATCCTTCAATCAAAGACCATTGTTTAAGTTCTGAGTAATTATGAGTAATTTTCTTTTTCAGCTGTAAGTATTCTGTTATTTATAGACACCAGCTTATCTGAAACTTGTCCAATTTCCTGTCTTTGAACAGGTTTAGAAGACAGACGCTACAGTCTAAATCACGTAATTTGTACCGATTACCTTAATATTTGAGGTATTACCCAAAGTCTTCATCATATATGGTGTCCCATGGAATTGCAATGGCTAGGCTACGTAACAATTATTTATGTTTCCTTGCTCTCCTTTTTCATTTTTTTTTCTAGTGATGGTCAAAGTTTTTTGAATGATCAATGTCATTTTGACCAGTGGTGGTCTCAGAGATTCAACAATTAATACTTGTTGTTGAACTCCGTTGATTGTATTAGGGTTCCTTTTTCTCAAGTGATGCCCTACTTTTCTATTGTTTTGATAGAG